AGTCCAGTAGTTTCTTGCTGAATGACGAATTAGGTTTTCTTCTGCCTCATGGACCTATGGATTGATGATGACAACACGGGTGACGTTAAATTCAGAAAAAAAGAGCTCATATGTTATAAAAGTGTGGTCGGCAAACTGGTTGATTCCTATTGTCTCAGCAATACTACCCTCTACATGACACTGGTTCTCTCCACGCGCGTTCTACCTTCTATATGATGCACAAAGGAAAGTATAATCCGCAAGAACAGATACAAAACCCAAAAACTCATTTTGTGGTCGTTACGAGCCATATGGCATAAACGCCATTTCAGCGTAAACGACGTGTTCAACCATATGAGCTTCGGAGGAATTTGAACTCTTGTACTAAAATTCTTCCAAAGAACGTAGAAATCTCCACAGAAATTATATCCACTAATGTTGCTCCATTTTTTTGCGTTCTTTGCAATTAGTAACACACAGAGTTCCGATGAGAGAAGTCTCTTGTACGAATACAAAGATAAGAGTCTCGAATTACTTTCCTTGGTAATAATGCAAAGAAAGCAACAAAGAGGACCTTTGTTAATAAAGCTAATTGATGTCTCAGTCCTTTTTCAGCCGGCGCTAAGGCCCCTATGAGTAATAGATGACCCACATACGATATTTCCATTTTGAAGGCCGCCTAAAATTGAACGTATACCAGAGCAAGGTCCGGATAACAATCTGTGTCCATCTCCACACCAATGAAGGAAAATAGAGGAGTTTCCACGGCGTCAATCGAGAACGTTGGGCTAAGGAAACTCACATTACCTTTGACGCGAGGAACATGGACAGATACCTGGTTAGTGACCAAAAGACTTAATAGGTGGTGAGATTGCAGATGATTTGTGGCGCAAACAACTCATGACAAATACGTGGTCACATATGGCTCTCGTTCAATCACAATCTGCCACCTTAAGGTAAAAATCTGTCGAATAATCGATAGATGATCCTGCACACGATGGAAATCCACGATGAAAAAAAAGAAGGAATCAGAAAATATGAACGGAGAGATTTTTTTTAAAAATTAGGGAAAATATAAAGCTCTAGCTGGAGCCTGAATATGAACAATCGAAACATGAACTTCTGATCTCGATGACTGAAAATCCCTCCTTATAGAAAAACATTACCCTCATACCATCCCATTTACGATGATTCCGCAAATTCCACGCTGTTTGTAATGGAGATAACTAATAAGTTAATTGTTTAATACATACATCAATAAGAGGTGTGTAGTGCGATGGTTAGAGGTGCATTGCAATACATACACATGCACTGGTTTAACCTCGAGCGTGGTAAAAACCATATCATTCTTCCCTAGAGGTTGCAAAATTGCACCACACTTGTCCGAGAGGAAAAGAGCACTGATTTGAAGAATCGTTGGGTTCACACAAATCACTGTATAGGCGAAACGTTCATCCCATTACCGCGACGCCCCTAATGGAGTAGAAGGTATGATTTAAAGCGGAGATTGATCAACAGTAAACACTTTGCTCTTTGTATCTTTTTATCATTAAGGGATATAGAGCCAACACATACACATAGTTTAACTATAAACAGATGAAAATAACAAACGAATTTTCCCTCAGGCATGGACAACCATTAACCCAGATAAAGTCATTCCAAAACAAGAATGTTTGTAGTCACAATGATGATGATATATTTGCAAACTTCAGACCACTGGTAGACAGAAAACTAGCTGAGAGAAGAACGAAACGAAGGACTCGCATGGTGTGGTGGTGAACGCGTTAGCTCCTGGAAAGGGTAACAGCGTGTTCAATCCCCATCACAGACAGCTGTGGTCCGGAGTTTTGCAAATATCTCAGCACCATTGTGGTTACATCACATACGTTAACTTGCCGTAAAAAATTGTAGTACCCAGTAAATAAAAAGTTAACGTAGTGTTTATAGGGTTTATAACGTATTTCTCCATGAGAAAACGAGTCCCTGTTATGGGATTGAAGAGCCGTGGAAATATGCATTCGGAATCTGGGCTTAACTTGTCTGTTCGAGCACGCAAATTCATTGCGTTCATGCATTTACTACATGAACATCATTCGAACATTGTCACATATGCAAATATATAAGATGGCACGAAAATGACATCTTTTCCTGCCATGACAATTGTTTGAAAGCATCAGCAATAATTGTTGCTTACATTATTTCAAAAGGTACTTGTTACTTTACTATTTGTCACGTGGTAACTAATTCTAACTGGCCAACGGTTTACCGCCTCATCGTGACTGGGAGGTATTCCTGGGTGTCGGAGTGCGATGTACAACGGGGAGATTCTTCCCCCCGGCAAGGTCTCTCAGGCTGAGGAGTCCAGTGTTTCCATCAGGAAGCCTAGCTAAGAGTAAACCAATATTAGGATCCACCGCCGTCTTGGTATCAAGGTCCCACGGTGGTAAATCTCCCTCTGATGCACAAGGGCTGCGACTACCTGTCGTGGTGATGACCTGGGGCAGACTTTGGCCAGAATGTCCTCGGGATTCCAGGGAACCACAACGGCTTAACAAGCAAATCTCCAAGAAATGGTGATTATGCTAAGGCCCGCACAACTAATGATGATGGGTCCTTCAAGTAACTAATTCTAACAGAATTGAGAACGATTTTAGAAGCTGGCTGAAATGGTGCTATTACAGCATCGCTTTGCCTTTATGGGTTCAAATTTAACCATAAGATAATGGTGGCAATTAGAATTGTCATCAAGCCACGACAATTAAGAGGACTTTCGAATACACAATACTCAGATGGTTCCTAAGGCGTCATAGTGGAGACATGAATACTTATGAAGGAGAAAATCGAGTACGTCTAATAGCATCTAGTGCTTGGAACTGATAATCCACGTTGCCGCTCCAAAAACTACACTAGGGGATGTAGAAAAACTAGTGGAAAAAGCAAAGCTAAAGATGAAGAACTCGACATCCACCATCCAAGAATCGATTGACATTTCGAAGACACTGGACAGGTGGAGAACCTTGAGAGGCGGATGCCATATGAACTGAACGAGAACGAAGAAGACCATACGACTCTCTGTGCTCTTTTTACATAAAAAAAGAAAAAAAAACATCCATTTCTCAGTCGCATTATGATGTGCGATAAAAAAAATTGTTCGCATACGACAACCTATTTTTCCACGGAGTAATTGGCCCGATATGAAGCTCGTAAGCACTTTCCAAGGGCGAATGCACGCCTAAAGGTGGTTATAACGACGTTTTCAATAATGTTCTTTACTTTCGATAAAAGGAACCACGTAACACTCAATGAAACTAACCAACTATCTTCTTTCTCCTAGCACCTCAACGGCTGTTAGGAGAAAAAAGATAGTTGAGAAAATTCCCCGCAAACAAATCTCTGCTAAAAATGCCGTTCGAAAAACCCTCACACTCAGAATTTCAGAAATCAATGTTTCCGAAACAAATGAATTTCTATCTTGTTGACAAAAAACCGTAGGTTCTAACCGTTCTTATGTTCACTAAGTGAATTTAAGCTTGATCATGGCATTTCAAAGGCCCCGTTTAAATTTGATCACTATTTCATCTACCAGCTTAGAACAAAACGATAGAAAAAAGCAAATTAGAACAATTTTGGTAGACATTCAAACACAGATTTCAAGCCTTAAGAATTCTTCACAAATATCAACGTTGCGTCTATCCAGGGAACAGTTAGTACATTCAGCATGAACCATTAATTCTCGCTGGCATGGCTCACCACCGTTTGCTGGAGAATATAGTGCACGGTGTACAAGATAAGCTATTCAAGATCACTTCACCTATTAAACTTATAAATTGCGAACATAAACTCATGCAACTTATGCGCGGATTACAAACCGTAACGCCTGCACGTTGTAATATTTAGACAGTGTAAAACCGGTGCGAAGTATAAAAACGATAAAGGATAATGCATTCGACTTCAATAAGCTTCGCCGGAGGTGACTGAATGCATATCTGGCCTTTATAATAACTCGGGGTAGCCTACTGATGTATCGAGCCAGTGCTGCTAACCTTTTAGACAAGCCTGGTAGCAATTTGCCGGCCCCGAGGGTATGGAGGGCATAGTGGGCCTGCGGCTGGGGATCAATCCCATGTGCATTGCAGGGCGCCTCCGACCACTGCGCTACACGCACCCTGGTAAGAACATTAATTCGGAAAATTAAGACTTTAAAAACATGCACTTCATCCATAGTCGAAAACATATCTGATCCTTCTACATACATTGTCTATACAAGTTTCCTCAATGAATTAAATTCTATGATGATAAAATCTACTAAAGTTTCGAACCTCCGTGTGATAATAGCCATGTTAGTAGCTGCCGTGAGCTTCACAACCGGTGAACAAATTCATCCATAGGTTTCTTTTTTTACATATCCCTAAGTGTATAACAGAGCTTTTTTCAAGGACATCCGCCACAACATCCGCGTAGGATAAGTTATCCATTAGTTAAAAAAAGATGTAGCAAAAATGCTCTGCGAAGTAAAAGAACGAGCAGGAAATAAAGTGAACTATTTATGCTCACAGTATCACGAAAATATCAACGGCGTTCGGTGCATGGCACACAATTAGGATAGAATTAACGCCAAAAGGGTTTATCGTCTAGAAGATGAGAAACGTGGGTGTAAAGGCGATCAGTTAAGAGATCTGCTGATGGGAGTCATTCAAGTCATTCAAACAAACCAGAAACTGGTTTCGGCTTCAAAACTCGTTATAAAACGAATACAATAAGTAAGCGATAGGACCGACAAACTTAATACGTTTACGACACCAAAACATCACTACAGTACTCATAAATAAGAACTAACCTTAATTACAGCCGAAGACCTTGCCGTGCAAATACTGCGAAAAACAGCATTAATCGATTCATGGTTTGCAAATGATCCACCACTGAACAAAACGCTGGCATCCTTAGCTATAAAATATCAGTGTTATTCTCAATAGAACCTGAGTAGAATAGTAGAGTAAACATAACTTTTACCGCTATGTAAACTAAACCGATGGCCTAGTAATTAATAACGACCATGGATAAGCAACATGGAACTTGCCGATATTGTAAATATGTCCAGTTGAGTAATCGACGACACCGCTTAAGGTCCTTTCAATGTCCTCGAAGAGGTCAACCCTCTGCACATCCAGCCAAACTTCAGAATAGACCACCGACAATCGTACATTCAAATCACGTGAAAACATCTAAAGATGACTTGCCGATCAGCCCAACTAATTACGAAACGACATCTGTCACAGTTATCGTACTATCTTGTAAACGACACAGTCGTTCCAGTTGTAAAACTATTGCGAATTCATTTAATACCTCCATAACTACAAAGAAAAACTTCTCTACTACAGAACTGATCTTATATAGATCTTATATATTAAAGGTTTTCAACCAACAACTTTTCAGACAAACAACCACATATTTTCTACCGACAACAATTTTACGACCAATAGAAAAAAGAACTACATTATTAGGTTATTCAGCATCAAATGTCCGATTTTGCAATATGAAAGTTCCGAACGTTCTTTTTTTGCAACTAAAGCTGTTCGTATAATATTATACCTTATATAAGCGCCCTTCCAATGGTTTACCGCCTCATCGTGGCCGGGAGGTGTTCCTGTGCGTCGGGCTGCCACGTAGAACGGGAGGACTCGTCCACTCAGCAGAGGCTCCCAAGCTAGGAGGAAGTCCAGCTTTTCTATCAGAAAGCCTAGATAAGGGTAAACCAATACCAGGATACACCACCGTCTGGATATGAGACTAGTCGCATGCTGGCAAACCTCCCTCTGATCCACAAGGGGTGCAACTGTTTGTGGTCGTGACGACCTGGGGCAGACTTTGGCTAGGCTGACCTCGGGACTCCAGGGAAAGAATGGCAAAACCAGCAAAATTCCCAAAAAATGGAGATCATGCTGGAGCCCGCACAACCGGTGAGGAGAAGTCGTCCAGGTATCCAAATAAGTAAGTACATAAGTATATGTTAAAACAAACGCATTCAGTTCTAGCCACACGTTGACTATTTTAAAAAACTGGACAACTAAACTAGTTTCCACCAAAAGACATGAATATGAGCAGTCCAACAGTACCACTGTATCCATCAATCATTCTCTACTTCATAATACTTGCCGATTAAAATGGATTATTTTAGCAGAAAGCCTTCTCTCTCCCTCGCGTAGGATGGATAAATAGGCGCCGCTAATGAATATGTCGGCTTCCTTTGCGCCCACAATTTAATACAAGAGTGCGGCATTTCCACGCAGTAGTATCCCTTCTAGCTAACAATCGACTCTTGCTTTTTCTAAATTTAATACGTGAAGAAAAACTGAACGCTGTCAAGTCTACTCACAAAATCGGCAATGTTGACTGCTTCAAGCATATAAGCCAACGAGTCGTCCTCTGAGTACCCATGCTGCTTAACCTTCAACGAAACAGAGGAAATGCAGTAAAGGAACGATAAAGTGAAAACAAACACTTGATATTTAGAAAAGTTAGGAGAAAATATTGAAAAACCAACATATTCATGGTCTCCGATGACAGCCAATTCAACATATTTCGTCTGTTTTGAAATATCTCGCCTGTGTCGTTGACGGTGCAAAGACATCTACAACACAGCTTTAAGAAGAGCTGACTGTTGCTGACAGTGTTCAACATACTTCTGTTAACCAAAATAGCAGCCGATCTATGTTCGGGAAATTTCTACTAACTAGTAAGACTTGCTTTGGGGACTCTAAATATGGATAATATGTGTGTCTTTCTTCTATTTGTACTTCATTCTTTGAAACATTATGTATATGTTACACAGAAATGTGTATAGAACAAGCTTACGAATGTGCATCACTTATGGAATTTTCCACAACAAATCGTCTCACAGGGCAACTCAGAACCCCATAAATAAAACCTTATCACTAGACAGGAAGAAGTGTCAAATGTACTACACTGCACTTTTTCAACTAGAAAGGACCATATAAAGAGCACGATGCTGATAAGATGAAGAATTTCGAGCAACACGAATATAAAAAGAAACTCGGATTTCATCCCTAATCTTATAATCTGCGGATGCATCTCGCTTCCGTGCTCATCAATGTGCTCGCTAGTGCCCACTGTACTGATATTTTATTGGTAGGAAACCAATGCGGTACCTTCACTATAAATGCACTTTAAATTTATTTCAACATTTTACTTAGATCTGCGAAGTAATCTTACACTGGTTGGCCACCTGCGCTAGCAGCAAATGAGGGCTCATCGCAAAAATGGGGTCGTTAGGAGTCGAAGGACATTCTTATACCAGTACAAGACTGTCTAATTTAACGAAGCACTTTTTCTGATTGAGATTTCTCAACGCGCCGAAAAGACAAGGAAATATAGGAAGGGTTATAAGGAAGTGTGGAGCTGTTCTCAGCCGCACATTTGTGGCTTTATCAGCATAAACCAAAGAAGTCTGGCGCGATAGGATGTTTCCGTGAAGGAGACGAACAACAGCTGTCTCGAATACTCCTCACAATAGCAGTTTCTCGAACGATAGAAAACGCTTCTCTAAAACAATGACCTAACTTCAAACGGTGAAACTGACTGTCATGCAAATTTAGTGGTCCATAATAGCCTTGTTCACTTGGAGCACATGCGTCAAATCGGATAAATCACTACTGACAATGGATGCGCCAATGCTATACGGCACGATTGAACAGATGTGAGTACTCCAATAAACATCAAAAGAGCACCCATGGGAGATAGTCAACGGCAACAGATTCTTCTTTGATTATAGCGACTGCGCTCAAAGCTCCAAGAACAACTTGAGATATAGCATGCTGGAACTCTCGACAACGTAAAGACATCCGAGAAACAAGAAACAAGTGAATTTACTCTGATCCAAATGTAATTTTTTTTTTGGTCGTACACTTTTCTCAAACTCTTACATTGACAAAACTGGCACCTTTGAACGCTAAAAAAAAAACATCTCAGCTAATCGCCAACCATATCAGAGCTTGACCTAGGACTGTATACACTTTAAGCAAATCGTCCTCTCCGAATTTGGTAAACCTGAAGGCTCCCAAGAGCCACTGGCATTGAAGAATTATCGGGAACTAGCGAAAAACCACGATCGATCACTATTTCTTAAGAAAAACATAGACAAATGAGCAACTTACCCTACGGCGTATGATATGCTCAATAGGTGCTAAAGATGTGCCACATTTTGCATCCTTCGACCAGCCAGTTTTGTATAGAATATGTGGATGTCTCCGTCCTCTATCACCAACGTCCAAGGGCCATACTCCATACGTGGATCCATTTGAGAATGCGATTATCCCTCTGAGTGAAGTATGTCACTAACTTAAGGTAGAACATTCCTCCTTATTACACTTTCAACAAAAGGATAGAAAATCAGACATGAATAATAGCAAAATAAGATAAGCATTTCATACTCCGCCCTCATCGACTACAATCAAGAACCGTATTCGGTCATTAAAAATTACACCAATCATAAAATACTGAAGAACGTCCCAAGTAAACTTGTAAACTAAAGAAACTGTGCAACTATTTGCAACCTCCATGCTATTTGTTAATTTAGGTTACCTTCACATATAATCCTTTCTAGTCAGATTTGTCTCAACACCTTCACTTCATTTGACTAACGGTTTATCTTCAACATCGACATATACCTTGGCTATATTTGAGTTTGAGACCAGTATTACGTCCCTTGTCGTCTGTCCACTGCCCCATTTTCAGCTCAAGCCACACTATTGTTTTGGTAATTGGGTCAAATCATAAGTGTACGTTTACCCAAGTGTATTCCGGTTATTGAGAAATAAGTCCCTCTTTCTATGTATCATGGTTTATACTTGTGCATACAGCATACAGCATATTCAGCCACATAAGAGACAAACTCGTCAAAGCGTTAAGTCTGAAGAATTTCAAGCAAAACTGAGGCTTCCTAATAATTCAGAAAACCGACTTTCTATAAACCTCGGCATAAACAATTGATATATTTATTCAAATGTTCGTATGACCTGTGTTTGTTGGGATTCCCACTCGTAACAGCACGGCCCTGCGGAAGGAGAAATTGCCGAGACGTAAGCCATCAAACAACAACAAGGACGACGACGATGACAACAACAACAACCACATCAACAACAACAACAACAACGACTACACCTTATAGCAACTTCGCATCGACTCAACAAGGCCAGTTCATATGAACCTTCTTACTAGATTGTTTCAGCGACTAATCTGCAATCTAACCATGACATGCTGTGCTTCCAGCGGATATAAAACGTGAATTTTACATGCATTTAAAATAAAATATTAGCTCTACCATACTCCCTTCAAATACGTTCAAAGCTATACCAAACATGGAAAGAAATTTTGAAATGTTGTACTCTATCATTAATCTTGGACAAGTAGAAAAAACAACACGGAATTACGAGAAGCGGCTATACCTCAATCCATTGCATGACGAAAGAGCAACGAATGATGATGAATCGCCTGCCACCGTGCCCTGATAATAGCAATTTTCAACACGATTCGAGAAGCCGCGCTCGCCAGTTGAATCCAACTGAATGTAAAACAGTCTGGAAACCAGTCTATGGGTAAGAGGACAGGCTACCTGGGTTACCTTACGGAAGCTGGTCTGGTTTAGGAATATGAAATTGTTTCGTTCTAACACCAACTTAATGCGACCGATAGCATTGCTACGAATTACAATCGTCACATGTTGGTAATGTTCGGCAGCTTTGAGAAAGTAATTACGAGTATCTGAACTAAGATTGAGAAATATATGTTTTTAGCTAACGAATAAAATGTGGCACAAACTCCCTGACCAATTCCCATTCGCTCATTTTTGTCACGAATCTGGAATGGATGAACAACTTCATAGTCGCCATCGGGTATAGTAGCGATAAAGGCTTTGTTAGTTGCCGACTGACGAAGGTCAACTAAAACAGTACTTAAGTACTGATCAATTAGATAGAAGTTCATTTTCACTAATTTTAACCAAGTCAATAATAGCAAGTCATCCAGGAACAATCAACAGCAAACTTTGCGGATGACCCAGAACTGCTTGGAAATCACTGGAAATCTGAGAAGCATATAAACGGCTTAATATTCTATACTTGGATACACTGCAAAACGTTGGTTTCGTAAAGCAATTCTTTGACGAATACAAAAAGGGATCGATCGATCAGCGCCAAGATCTTTTGAAAACGCAAAAAAAGGTTTCAGCAGGTGTAATGCAGTCACTTATTCTGCAACATTCCTTGAACTAGGAAGGAGCGATTTCTTAAAGCTTTCCATATTCCTATCCAGTAACTAACTTCTGTTATAGTTGCAGATTTAAGCTGCAGTCAAACACTTATATTTACTCTGCAGCCCTCTAATAAGACCGTGATTTGGTCTACCGATTCTCTAAGAGAAATAAGAACAAAATAATCGCTCCACAATCGATTTTCTATAGACTGTAAACTATAAAGAGACTGTGGACTACAAAGTAATCAAATACTCGAAGGAAGGGCTCACTCACGTAGATAGTGTTATCAAATCAAAGCCAAGCCTAGTCTGCAGAGAGGGAGCATGACGCAGATTACATAGAATTATCACCGAAAACACGAACCAAATACGAACTTCTGAATCTGATTTTATAAACTAAAAGGGTAACATCTGCACTAACGTCAAGGAACTAGGAGAAAGAACTATAGCGCTATATAGTAGCCGCGAACGACAAAAAACGAAGGTTAGTTTATAAAAATATTCAAGGATAAAAGAATGAACAGAAGCACAACGATGTTCACAAGGATTCACCTCTGGTCCCAAAACATAGTGTTTGAAGGAGAACGAAAATCGAGCCGCAGTAAGAATGGCCAGTCATAATTGTAACCGTTTCAACATCTGGAAAACTAGAAAAACATCTGCGTTCATCGTCTCATTACCGTCGGATTTTAAACAACTGGATTAACTGACTCAGTTTAAAAACCCTAAAGACTTCAAAAAGCAAGGAGAAAAGAGAGAGAGAAACAGGAAGATTTGAAAGAAAGAACAGAATGACACTGTAAGAAGATGGGCAGATCCGGGTCAATTTGACCTTTCCAGGCTGTGAGGAGAGCGAAATCCGCTGAAACGTCAGCTGGCTCGCAAGTAAAGGAATAAGATAACACCTCGCGTTTGCTCAACAAGAATATGAAGGACAGTAGGAAAAATTCAAAGAAAAAAAGTGTAATAACGCAAAGGTGTAAATCGAAAGAATAACAAAGAGAATGAATAAGAAAGAAGAAGAAGGAAGGCGTAACTCTAAAAACTGAATGCAGATAATATGAAGGGTCTAATGAGGGTTTCGTGTTCATTAAGGTCACCGAGCCAAAGCTATTCAGATTTGATGAAAACTTTCGTCTGCCCAAACCCTTCAACTCTAAATATTTCGTAAAGCGAGAAGAGAAAGGAAGAGAAATGAGCAAATTTGAAGGACAGAACAGAATGACACTGTGAGATGGGTAGATTGGAGTCAACTTGGCCCTTCCAGGCTTTGAGGACGACGAAATCGGACAAAACGTCAGCTTATTCGTAAATAAAGAAATAAAATAACACCTCGTGTTTGCTCAACAAGAATACGGACAGTAGGAAGTATTAAAAGAAAAAAAGTGCAGTGAGGGAAAGGTGTGAATAGAAAGAATAACAAGGAAAATGGATAAGGAAGAAGATGGACGAAGGTGTTACTCCAATAACTGAACGCAGAGAATATGAAGGGTTTAATGAGGGTTTCATGCTCACTAAGACCAACAAGCCGAGGCAATCTAGATTTGACGGAGAGCTTCGTCACTGATGTTCAAACTGACAGCACATACAGTGCATAGCAGTACACATCGAAACACAGAAATCAGAACATCATGAGAAGAGTGAATTTTAGGAGCATTTCCTAAACATCGGCAAAAGAAAAACCATTATGACAGCTAGGCAAACCGACGACGCTCGACTTAAAACAAAAGACCGGAGACTTTTAATGAAATACTTGACACGAAAAATAAAGGAGTAGAGTGAAAGAGAGAAATAAAAAACACTGAATGTAAAAACCGAGCAGGAGAAATCCGTATTTATCAGATTATACACTCATAAGTTCTTGGTGATGAAACTTCATTAACGACAATGCAATCGCATGACGTTCCAATAATTCGAGAAGAATGACTAATTGGATTGTGTGGTCGGAAGCGCTTGGTTAGCAGAAGGGTTAGGTCAGGAAGCAGAGGTCACCACTTAATGGACGGCTATGACGAAGTGGATCGATCGGACACTGCGCACGCCCTCCTCGACGCCCGGCTTCGCTTCATCACGAGAGGAGGACCGGCTGGAGAGGCCGGAGGCAGACGAGGGACGACTCGAGTGGACATTCACTCGTGGGATGAGGCTCGCACACACACAATGAGCGACGTGATGAAGATGGACGTGCGATTAGATCTCTCCAACGGACACACCATAGGCCTCTCCTTGTCCCGCGGGATTCATCGGCTACGATTCGCCAAGTGCTCGTTATTAGTAGGCATTGTGGGGTGCCACCCGACATGCAGGTATGCTCGACTGGTTAGGTAAGGTATCAGGGTCTAGAATACCCAGCTGACAAGGAATTGATTCAAAGTACAAAGGTTATGTGAAATACAAGTGCAATAAAATAGCAGTAAACAGCTGATGCGTGAGGAAAAATGGTCACTAACATGTTTTCCATGAAAGGAAACATAACGTGGAATGTCATCCTTTAAAAATTATGCACGAAAGGCGAAAGGGATCAACTTCGTTTCAGAAATAGACTGAAAACAAGAACCGCATGTATAAATAATATGTGGGAATATCAAAAAGCTCGTATAAGGTGCCGGAAAACTACCGCGACATTAAAGGAATGCTTTAATGTCACTAAGAAATCGACCATCATAAGTCATGACAATGTGTAAGGACCAGAGTAATGAAAATTGAATCGTAAGGACTTTAAGAACCAAGCACAATTGACAACAAACTAGAGCCTACTACATCCGCACATTCAGTGCCGTGACCTCTATATGAGTCATACGATGCGAGTATGGCGTTCGCTTCAAATTCCGAACAACACATCTCAGCTCACAGCCAACTTTACTGACGAAATAAAAGATACTAGAATCCATAAACATTTGCCCGCAGGATAGAAGCGCTCTTGCCTTTCCAGGATGGAACTCTGACTTTCTGGAAGTCGTCACACATACTTCTTCGGCTTGATTGCTTCATGGCTCTTCGAATATGAAAGCAGGTGAACCAACAAGATTTCGTCCATTATGACATGATGGTGTCAGTCAGTTTATCGTTTGTGTTCCCAGCTGCCAATCTTCCACTGGAAATTTTAGAAACCTAAGTCTCGCCATCGTTTTTTAACCCTAAATATATTCGAATCTGAAAGGATGTTGTGTGAAAACCACATATATGTTAGAGAGAAGTCTCTTCTCTAAGTCTATGAAGTTCTGAACCCCTGAAATACTAATCGATATGCATCCCTTTTTTGATAAGCCTATACGAGGACGACAAGTAACTTTCATTTTCGGCTAATGCTTCGACGTCTTCGTCTTCATCACAACTGTCCTGAAATACTCTATTGATCAAAAGTTTATCACCAGTTGCCGGAAAGCCAGTATCGTTGCGAAAACTTTAAAAATACAGGACTTACAACCGATCGAAAGTCGGATCAATACTTGATAATATGGTATCATAACGGGTATACCATCACAGTAATCATCATCCTAAGTGAGAAGGATCAAAGCAAAAAGTCGAAAAATCGAAAAGCAATCCGAAAAAAACGTCTGCAAAACAAAACAATAACACAACTACAGTTGGTTAAGTATTACAATTCATATGAAGTACGTCCAGCTGCAAGCATTCTACTTGGATCACTTCTGGACCAAAAATTTGAAAATGAAACGATTTATTTGCGAGAGAAAGCGAGGACTCCCTCATCGACCATCGAGTGCCACGACCTTGAATGAAGGCTCTCTCACTCTGATCCAATTCTTGAACGGCAGAAATCCCACTACAGATCCTTTCTCTTAGGGTCTTAAGAACGCAGCGATCATTAAAGTTCTCCTCTTCTGAAGAATCTCCTCCAGAAATTAATCACCTCCATTTCTGCTCTCAGATTAATTTTCTTCCTAAGTTCTTGTCTCCTTTGCTAAATGAATCTGGTTTAATATAACAGTTATTTTCCCATAAAAGACGCTTCGACGGGTTTCCACTTATTCATACCAGTACCATTTCTACGGTTCGTAAATGAACTGTACTGAGTAGCCTTGACATGGGATGAACTCTTCCCTGTGGCTATTTCCTCTGTCCTAAAGGCAAATACGATTAGGTAACCGACTATCGGAGGTTAACAGTATCACGATAACAAAGAGGTCCAGAAAAATTTAACTATGGTTCGATAAAATCCGAAAGGGACAGAAATAAAACGCCAAAAATTGATGATTTTGATTCCCGCGCTAGAAGCTGTACGCAAATTCTCGTCGGACTACGATAGTATGTAGTGAGGTGTGCGGAAGTGAGTTCAACACGCTGGACACTTCTAACCGAGTAGGCATTGATTTGTTTGTTTGTTTTGTTTTAGTAAGGCGGATTGTAGGGAGCTTAGGGAATTCCGTGGTTGTTCCTTTATCTCATGTGACATGTCTTGTCGTGTCAATGTTCTCTAATAGTGATTTCCTTATATTAGAAGCATTTTCTAGAGAGCAGTGGAGCCTCAGTGATTCATTTGACAGTTTTTACCTTTATATTCGTCGTTTCGTACAATATGCACTGCCTAGGTATGGCTTTGTTGGTTCGTTCACTCACTCGAGCAAATATTGTGCTTGGCTCAGTCGGACGTGGTATTTCAACTTCCAACTGCCTATCGAGCAAGGATGACATAATGGAGAAATGGCCAGCAGAGAGTGCGTTTGTTTTCACTTAGTCAATGACCCACTTGATTATAGTTCTTGGCTTTAATGGTGTACAAGTTGGGAGCTTGTTGAAAATTGCAATTGTTCGCTTGTTTGAATCAGAGCGTAGCTGTAATTTAGCAAATCAAAAGTTGGAATGGTCAGAGTGGGCTTTTTTGCTCATCTTAAGGTAGAGCAGTGTATTCTCCATTGGAAACTATAGATGATCTGTCTTATAGCTGTTTGTGCTTGAAATTCTTGGAATAAAACGAGAAGTTGGTAGATGAGAATTTTCTACGTGTACTGCTTTTCTTCTTCTTCTTTTGCTTTTCTTGCTGTGTCTATGATAATGGAAGTGGGAATTCGCTGCTGGGTAGACTCTCGTTTGTTCACTTTCCTCTTTAAAAAGAAGCTTTTTTATTTCAGGATTCGATAAGCATTTCATCGATTATTTCAACAGACCGGAAATTGACGGTTGGGAAGTGCGAAAGGGTTAAGTCATTGTTACTTGATACTTACTTGATACTTGAACGGCCCGTCATCACTAGTTGTGCGGGCCCTAACATAATCACCATTTTTCGGAGATTTACTGGCATTGTGGTTCCCTGGAATCTCGAGGTCAACCTGGCCAAAGTCTGCCCCAGGTCGTCACCACGACAGGCAGTCGCATCCCTTGTGGATCAGAAGGAGATTTACCACCATGCGACTTTGATACTAGGACGATAGTGGATCCTGGTATTGGTTTACTCTTAGCTAGGCTTCCTGATGGAAACGCTGGACTCCTCAGCCTGAGAGACCTTGCGAGGGGACGAATCCCCCTGCTGTACATCGTAGTCCGACACCCAGAAACACCTCCCAACCACGACGAGGCGGTAAACCGTTGAGAGGTGTCATTGTTAAGCAGTTTTAATTCCAAATTTTCACTTTTGTAAGAGTGGAAGTAGTTTTGATTATTGTAAAATCCTTTCTTTTTCACTCCTTTTACTGAAACATTCGACGGTTGAGTTCGTCGAAATTTGTGTAGGATGGCTAGCCGTTCTCACAAAATTTGCTATATTTCTTTTGGCTTATGGGATAAAATGGAGAAATTTACTCAACTCGCGTTTGCTGAACAAGTTCAGAAAAATTCCATTTTTGGGTAAACTACAAAGTGATTGAGAATCTTGTAATGTTCTTTTATGTATTTGTTTGTGCCGATAACAATACCAAGGAAAAAGCTAGAGTGTGAACCTAGGCTATGTCGTGTTATAAAGGGGTAATGAATCCAGTTTTGATCGGCAAATAACAGATAGGGTATAGTCTTCAGTTCTAAACATCTGAATCCCTATCAAAACGATTGTTTCTAAAAAAAAATTGCAAGATCAAAGCAGTTCTAACAGCTTTCGGTCTTGCGGATTCATGTTACCTAACAATGGCGTAACATCTAGGTATTTCATGAGTCGATCCAGGCAATAGTTGTCTTGCTTTGATTTCAAGGAATGTTTTTTACAATTATGTAAAGATAGGTGATAATCGAGTTTTATTTACAACGGGAATTTTGATTCATTTTTTGATTTATTTCTTCTTTCAGCTCTTACTGAACTTCATGACTATGACGTCATCCCTGACCCAAAGGTATTCTAGCAACACGTTTATTTTTAGTTCCTAGATTTTCTGACAGAGGGTTGTTTCATTGTTTAGTTTTAGTCAAGTCTTCTTGTTACCACTGTTGTTTTGGTAATTGTTTCGGCAATCACTTAGGTCGTTGAAGCCGCTCTACGTGCTTGTCGCCGGGTGAACGACTTTGCTTTGTGCGTTAGGTTTTTGGAAGCTCTCAAGATAAAGTGTGGTACGAAGAAGAACAGAGCGATGATCTATCCATACATCATTAATGAGGTTAGGGTTCTACTCGTTTCTTCACAAAATTTATCTTCACTTTCAACATAGGGTGAATTACTGCTTTTAAAGATAAAGCCTGTTCTAAGTGAACTTGGAATTTCGACTCCCGAAGATCTCGGATATGACAAACCAGAGTTATTCATTCCTCAGCCCGAGTATTGGTGGGAGAAGAAATGGTGAGTTTTTATCGTTCTCTTTTTACAATTATTTGATCTGATATTGTATTCTTGTTCTGGGAAGACTAAAAGTGTGAAAGAAGAATGTGAAAGAATTAGAATGGATTTCCTCTTGGTGGTTGAGTTCTTACTTCTGTGTCAGAAGTTGTGCCTTTTTAGTACAGAGTAGTATAAGGAGCATTATTAAATTTTCAGGTATGCTGAGTATGGATTCGACAAGTACCCGGCTTTCCAGTACTAATAGATCATTGTCTTGTCTTAGATATCACCAATAAAACTACGATTGTAGATATTTAATATTAGGATATGAATCATGCTATTGATTTTGTAAATGGTGTTAATGAGTTGCCAAACTTCTTTATGTATTTAGCAAATATGGCGTTAGAAGCAATTTTAGATCTGGAAACTTTGGACGATATTTAATCATTAAGTTTGAGATGATTCTCTGCGTTACATTAGTCCTTTAATACTTACATACTTTATACTAGAATGGTCCCTTTTCACTGGTTGTGCTGCCTTTAGCACAATTTCCACTGTTTCGGAGTTTCTCTGGCTTGGCTACTGTGGATCCCTGAAGTCCCGAGGTCACCTAGGCCAAAGTCTGCTCCTAGATCGTCACCACCACAACCATTCTCTTGTGGAACACGGGGAATTTGACACCATGTGATTAGTTTGTTACTAGGACGGTGGTGGATCCTGATATTGCTTTACTCTTAGCTGAACTTCCTGTTGGGAACGCCGGGGTCTTTCTCAGCTTTGGTAGGTGCTGCTGGGAAGATGAATCCCCTCACTGTAGATGGCGGCATGACACCCAGGAACACCTCCCAGCCACGATTAGGCGATAAACCGTAGGGAACAGTCCTTTAATACGGGTACATGTTGCCGCATATGCATTTATTGTAGCGTTACTTTCAGGCTTCTTCCAGAACTTAGAAAACATCTGTCGGAGCCTTTTGGAGTTAAATCAATAATAGTACGCGGTATTAAAGGTTTTAGTTTAAATGCAAGAAACCCGAATTATTACTAACTTTGAGGTCATTTGCTGACGAAAGCAGATTTTCTGGCGCTAAAATCTTACATAGTAATTAAGTATTTTATTGCTTGGTAATTCATACAGAAAAAGTGGCGGAATGTTGCTTAAATATTTCCTAGCTTTTTGATTATGATAGAGCGAATATTTTGATCTGAACCAATATTTCAATTCTCGCTCTCGGGTCCCGCTTCGTCCGCCTTGTCTATCGTCGCTTGGTCGTTTGTCTCATGAACAACACATTTCTCGTCATTGAACCGAATCTGGAGTAAAAACTGATATTAATATCCTTACATAAATACATGTGTATATGTATACATATAATATGTACGTTTATTTGTGACTGCTAGCATAATTGTAGATTGGTTAACTTCGTGGCATTCATCAACAATATTCCAGTATACTGAAGTAGTTGGTAGTCACGCATTCTTTTAGGTAATTACCAGTGGAAACTAACCTAGAATCATGCAATATTTGGAGCTGAGATTATAAGGGATAGAACGATAAAGCTCTCGGGGTTGATCTATCCCTTAGGGATGCGCCGTGCATTCGATTTCATTAAGCAGCGTTGGAGGTGATTAAATGCTTATCTGGTCTTTATAGCCACTTGCGTTGGCCTACCGATGTATTGAGCCAGCCATACCTGACACCAATTTGCCGACCCGAAGGGGGTGGAACGCTTGGTGGGCCATGGGTTCGGGAATCGAACCCATGTATGTGTCGCAGAGCGCCCCGACCACTGCGCTACACGAGCCTCTAGCTGGGATTATACAGAAAGAAATATATTTATGTCTTGTTTTATACTTTTATGCGATGGTTCTTCAATATACAGAAATCGCAGTGAAAATTACACATATTGGCTGGAATATATTGGTACAAAGAAGTATTCACATTACAGCGAGATAACGGATAGTTGGTGCAAGACTTAGAGACGTCGTAGTGGTTTCGTTCTGTTCCGGTTTGTTTTGCTTTCCTCACGAAGTTTTAGAATTTTCTACAGTTCTTGCGGTTTCCGCAAATATTTGGTGGTTACCCATTCGCATGGGTTGTACATTTTTGTGGGAATCCATCGAAATATCTGCTGTCACAGCTCACCTTAACGTCCTTCGATAATGGAGGCTGTTGATCGAGATCTCGATCTGAAGGGAATTCCGCTTCTTGCAGTTTATTTACGAGTTGTGCCTTCGTCTTCTTAAATAAAGAGTGAAATGAGTGCAGCAGTGCTTTTAAATAAGCACATCTTCATTTAAATGGGAAGCTTTTAGTTCGAGATGTTGTGCCACACATAGTCGTGATTCTAGTTCATCACTAGTAATGAAGATAGTTCGATCTAAGCCTCACAGAAAGAATGAGGTTTAATGTAGACAAGGTCTATAAGGTTTAATAGCACGATGATGCTATATACCTGGAACTTGTTATCCTAAACAAAAGGTATAAACTGACCGAATACAGGTTATCAATGTTGCCTCGTTTTACAACTAACGTTGGGTCGACGACCATCTTTTTTGGACTCACTTCGGTCTCGTATTGATTTGCTGGTCGTTGGATTATGGCTGGGTAAAATTAAACCCTGTTTAAAAGCTGCTCATAAACTAAGAGGTAGAGCTTAGTTTCTTTGACTGCAGACGTCTTTAACGATCTCAGTCGACTACGAGTTGATTTAAATTCATAGCTGTTGGGACTGATTTCCACCCATACGGTGATAGAAATATTTGTGTCTCCCCCAGTTAACACAGCAGACAGTCTGACATTGAGATTGAGTACAATTTGTATGACAGGAAAATAGTGCTCAGCTTTAACATTCTCGCAACGATGCCTAATTTTCAGCCTTTATGAACCTGCTGTTTTTTGAAAATAAACAAAAGTTTTTCGATAACTAGAGACTTCGTGGGATGTGAAGATAAAAGGATTGTTCAAAAGGCTTTGCTCTATTGTTCTGCTGGTACAAATGATAATGATGATGCTGTGTTCACTATGTGTTACTGTGGCCCACCATAGAAGCATTTCGTTGTCAGCATTTGGAACATTTGAAACTTTTGCAGCTTATGGGTCTGTAACCTCCCAACGGTTTACCGCCTCATTGTGGCTTGGAGGTGTTCCTGGCTGTCGGACTGCGATGTACAGCAGGGAGATTCGTCCCCCGCAAGGTCTCTCAGGCTGAGGAGTCCAGCGTTTCCATCACGAAGCCTAGCTAAGAGTAAACCAATACCAGGATCCACCACCGTCCTGGTAGCAAAGTCGCATGGTGGCAAATCCCACTCTAATCCACAAGGGCTGTGACTGCCTGTGGTGGTGAAGACCTTTGGCAGACTTTGGCCAGGCTGACCTCGGGATTCCAGCGAACCACAATGGCTTAACAAGCAAATCTCCAAAAAATGGTGATTATGCTGGGGCCCACGCAACTAATGATGACGGGCCGTTCAGGTATCAAGTATCAAGTAACTAATTCTAACAGAATTGAGAACGATTTTAGAAGCTGGCTGAAAGGGTGCTATTACAGCATCGCTTTGCCTTTATGGGTTCAAATTTAACCATAAGATAATGGTGGCAATTAGAATTGTCATCAAGCCACGACAATTAAGAGGACTTTCGAATACACAATACTCAGATGGTTCCTAAGGCGTCATAGTGGAGACATGAATACTTATGAAGGAGAAAATCGAGTACGTCTAATAGCATCTAATGCTTGGAGCTGATAATCCACGTTGCCGCTCCAAAAACTACACTAGGGGATGTAGAAAAACTAGTGGAAAAAGCAAAACTAAAGATGAAGAACTCGACATCCACCATCCAAGAATCGATTGACATTTCGAAGACACTGGACAGGTGGAGAACCTTGAGAGGCGGATGCCATATGAACTGAACGAGAACGAAGAAGACCATACGACTCTCTGTGCTCTTTTTACATAAAAAAAAGAAAAAAAACATCCATTTCTCAGTCGCTCAGTATAAAATATATATATGTATACATACATATGTACAAAAATTATATATATATATATACATATATATAAAATATATATATGTATACATACATATGTATAAAAGTTATATATATATATATACATGTATATAAAATATATATATGTATACATACATATGTATAAAAATTATATATATACATATATATATGTATACATACATATGTATAAAAATTATATATACATATATATATAAGCACATATATCGGTTCGAATTTTTGTGATAATTTAGTCTTAAGCACTTTTAACTTCAAAATGACATTTTACAAGAATCAAGCGCACACTTAAAGCCAAAGGCGAAGTTTCTGCCAAAAATCCATCGAGTCGTTAACTTTCCAGATACTTTATCGATCAGGAAATCATCGCCACCTGTCGTTCAACTGGTTTCGAACGTTATCTATTAAGCAAAAATACTTCAGTGCTTAGTGAATTTTACTATTTTAAACGAGGATTAGTGGAATCTACAGATCTATGGGAACACTTTGCCAAAAAAGACACAGTTTACTTCTTCTAGAAAACTAGAATAGTGATCTTCTAAGCCCCGAACATGTTCTTCTTGTTTCGCTTTTTTTCGTCGTCGAGGATTCTAGAAAGCGAGGCGAACGAACCGACGGGAATCTATTGCACCTCAATAAGGTGACGATCCCGAATGTACTGATGATGGTTGCTCTTGGTGGCCTTTTCTTTAGTTTTAAATATTTCGCTCTCTACCTGCTGATAGTTTTGGATTCTAAATAAACCCAATATTAAAGCAACAAGCTAGGAAAACTATACACGTTCTTGGTGCAATATAGCAATGTCTCTTCACAATGCTTTCAAGTTTTCAGTTTTTGAAGTACTTATGTTATTGCTTCTTGCGATTAACCCAGTGATCGTGGATCATGTAACAAGCCGAATTCCCTACTACTCAGTATTTATATACTTACATGGATACTTGAACGACTCGTCTTCACGAGTAGTGTGGGCCAGAGCACACCTATCTTTCGTGTCCTCGCGCAGTCGTCGTCCACGATGATGTTCTGTCTCAAAGTAGGTGGCGCATGCAAAGCGTATTTCCTTGTACATATATCATCTAGATCTGCGAATCGCCATGGTTAATCCGCGTTACGAATATGTTGGTCCATCGTCTAGGTGGTTTTTCCGAGGGAAGCTTGGATTTTCTTGGAGTTCACTACACAGTTTCTCTCTTTCATCTGTCATGTGATGCTTGTAGCATATGATCGGTTTTTTCCATCAAAATCGCCTTGATTTTCCGTAATTTCTTTAACCATGAATGAACTCTAGCAAACACCAACATACTCTGACGTCGTGTCTGTCACTGTTCAGAACTGCTCAGTGAACTTTGCTAACTCAAGGAGCGCAAAAAGCTTCGTAGTATTGGCATCAGGATTAGATTTACTATCTTTAGCGACAGGATACAGAAGGGTATATCGCCTAGATTTGCTTCATTCCGTGTCGGGGCCCTCAATTTAAATAAACTTCGCAAGCGACCACCGTGCATCGCACTCAGCATATTCAGGCACGTTGGTGCAACAAGCCATTGAAAAATTTATTAAAATGTGTTCATTAACGACTCACATCCACGTCCAGTCTGGCCAAGGTAACAAATGGGTCATCTGGGTATGCCATACCCTTCCTAGTAGTCCTAAACCAAGCTTAGAGATCTTGTCAGTTATTCAGTGGTTACTTACAGAAGTAGACCGCTCTGGTTAAGTCAAAGGTAACACCCAGTTAGCTCCAAGTGACTTGACCATTGCAATTCCCGTTCGACATATCCCGAATCAGAGCTGTTCACTAGGTTCATTCACCTGGACGACCATAAGTGGTACCACGCTTTCCGTGATGTCCTTTATTTAACTGTTTTTGGAGACGAGATGCGCAAAGCTTACTTTCTAGGAGTTGGATGTCCTTACGCATAATATGCCGTGCTACACCAGAATAGGTATGGAGTTTACCTGCAGAAGACGACGCCGTAAAGCCTCTTATCTATTGAGCTAGGATGCTGCTTCTTCGGAAGGTTTTTTTCGGGTGTGCGGAAAACTCTTTGTAGTTTGTTCCGATTTCTTCACGAAGGGCAATTGGCGGAATATTTGAAACTTTGAGACTAGGTTTCGTTCAAGACGAGTGCAATTTATTGTATCACTTTACTGTTGGCTGAGCTTTCCGACTGAAGTATTGGAATTACCATGTCATTTAACGGTGTTGACGGATCATTGAGAACCGAGTACCGACCCTCCTGCACGATGAAACAATAACTGTTGGAGTTGAGTGTAGAAATCAACTCTAATTTGCCTTGTTGCTGGCTAAGAGTTTCAGTTTTTGTATATCAATTAGTTTAATCCTAACCCAACCTTAACTTCTCAAATATAAAAGAAGATTTGATTCATTCCAATCGGCCTCAAAGGGTTAGGGATTTCTAAACAACTTGGGACCGACGTGTTTTTTTCCAGCGTAGTATGAAGCACTTTATTTTAAAGTGGCAGTAAGTCGCACCTAATACAGAGGACAATATTAGATTTTGAGCAGATGAACGATCTTATGAGACTTTGTGGTTCGCAACAAGAAAAAGAGATGAGACGACTTACTGAGCTTGCGACTGGGTAGCTTTGACGATTTCTGGCGTTGCCATTGGTACTTTGTTAATGTCCGTGACCCCAGAAGCAACTGTTTTCGAGCGGGTCTCCTCAGTTCTATGAAGTCTTCTTGAATGTCGACTCAGCGCTTGGGTGTGCGTCTCTGTATTTTATTTTGGGTTCTGGATAGAGTATTTTCACTGGAACCTTTTCGCCGGCACTTTGAAGGGTGATATCCTTTTTTTACCACTTTCGGCGTTTCCGTCTGAAAGAGTACCATTTTGTGCAATAAACGGTTCTTAAACAGTTTTATGAATGACAAAATGACCGTTTGCTAATTTTTTGTTCGATTCCACTGCTCACGTTACATCGATTTTTGTGAATATTTTTGATTGACATTTGGGTGATGAGTGCGAACAGGACGAGCAGATACGAACTACAGAAGAATGTGTTGCGAGAACTGACAGGTACTGACGAGATCGAAAGATTTACCGGTTTTCGTCATAAGATAGGAATCTTCAAACTGCCAAAGTTCAGGGATATTCCTAGACTTCTAATTCTGCCTTTGCATGCCACTTTAGAGAGCACATCCGTTTGGATTTCTTCGGTGATAACCACCGATGGTGTAAATATTGGGTTTTTCGGATGTTAAGGACAAAACAGATTTTTACTCCCTTCAAATGCTATGCCATTATAAAGCATTTCAATGCTAATTTTATGCGCTTTCGCTCCGTATAACCGAGTTTCAATACAAATTGTGTTCTTGGAAATATCTAAAGGTTAGAATTTCAGATGTCGAGACAGCGCTTTCGGCCACAGAAGTGTTAACGAACGAGGGCAGTGTTCGTTTGAAAAATTTCATTTCAACGAATAAGGCGTTGAAGTGAGGCAGGTCGCAGACGTGCTTTTGCTATTGACGACGATGAATTGAACGTTTCCCTGTAAT